AACGAAAATGAAAATTTGCTTGATAATTCAACTACGCTTGTTGGAGAACAATAAAAACACTACACTCAACAAGCCACCAATAAAACTCAACTGCCTAACCTATAACCAAAGTCTCCTTTTAATTTGTTTTTTAAAAAAAGCGCTTGACAAACTTGCCCCGCATGCCGAAGTTGCCCCGATCTCCTCTATAATATTTGATTAACATAAATAGGTCGAAGCGTAGTTGTGAAAGTGTTGTTTATATACAAATCTGTCAGCGTTTTCTCATCGGATAAGATACATCTACATGCAAATCAATTCTATAATATACGTATCCTGCTCTGTACGAAAATTCTATTTTATTACTCACCCCTTTAACGGCATATTACCTAAAGTAACCTCGATTACTCTGATTTAATTAATAATTACAATAATGGGAATCTTCTTTACAAAAGCTGCAGCCAGTACTATGCAGTTTAGAAAAAGTAGAATTAAAATCATACTCGTCGCGTAAGCATACGCTTACTTTGCGAATTCCTAGAACCGGCTCCCCGAATTGATATCGCCAGTGCAAATAATTATTTTATCATTTTTCAATTTTACTAAATATTTAGTATTAATTATATGTGTGTGCGAAAATAGCGAACACAGAGTAGATTGTGTTGTGTACAAAAAAGTATTACCGCAACGATCAGCCACCTCTTTCCTATTAAAATTAAAAGGAAACTTCGAAGGTTTCGGGCGAGCCACATAAATTATTCCTCACGGCATTTCAGGTTTTCCGCTTGCTCGATATAAGCTCCAAACAGGATAAACAAAATCTTGCCCCTCAAACAGAGTAACGTTCATACATACAGAAACGATCCTTCAATTTTTTGTATTACTGGCCGTTTTAAGGCTCACTGTGTTTAACATGTACAGTAATAATCTTTAGGGCTACTTTGTCTGATCGCTAGACTTTTTCTCTGTTATGTATAATTGTCGAAATGGATAAATAAAAGCAGCTTCTTACAAGAAGTTGTTCATAAGGAGAATTAACGCTACAAAATTTTGGTGGTTAAAGTTAAAGAAAATAGGAAATACTGAAGGTCTCGAGTGGAATGAAACAATAAAAATTTTAATAGTAATTGGCATTTACAACATCGATGCTATTAAGATTTTTGGTTAAAAGTCAACGGAGAGGGGAGACAGAAAAATGTTCTGTTGTATCTCGAGTCAAGTCAAATTTGATCAGGAACTTTTTTCTTTGTTAGTATTTACGTTTAGTTTTATAAAAACCTATTTCAACTCTCAAAATTCGGCTTATTTTCTATTTTATAATTACAGTATGTTATTTTAAAACGAAACATCACATTTGATAGCGCTGCAAAAATGTTAACTTCGTATTCATATAACGTCTAGAGGTAATTTCAAGGTTTTCTGAACACAAATAACACGCAAAACCTTTACACTTTAATATAAATATTATACGTTATCGAACAGATGTATAGGTTTGATAAGTAATAAATATTACATATGAAAAGTGTATAGAAAAGTGTAGATGAGAATGGAGAGGAAAGAAAAAAGTAACCCATTCGATACTGTTGGTGTTTTCTCTCGTATATTTTTCTGGTATGTATTATTATTTCCTCTCATTAATAATTAAAATTTTGTAATATAATAATTAATATGTTGTTTTCTCAACTAATCTTTTAAAATAGAACTCTTAATCTTTTCATACTGTCATTTCATGTAATAACACAGGTGTTTATACAAATTTTATGTTATTGTTTCATTTAAATTTCCTTTTTAAAAGAGAATACAGCAAATGTTTTCGTATGCAGGAAATTCCGAAACATACAGTATGTATTGATAAGAATTTATAGTTTGAATATATGTCTCTTTAGTAAAACACGGTAGACTTTCTCCCAGCTATAAAGTAGGTACTCCTTTATTGCAAATCACAAATACATTTCGGGTCTATATAAGTCCCTCTTCAGTGTAAATGCTCAGAAGATAGAGCAACGCTTTTCTAATTATATGACTCTAACAATGATGGTTTATATAATCCAAAAGAAAAAAAAAACATGAGATACTATTTACACTACGTATTCATCACCTACCATACCTGATATTGAGAAGAATTTATAGATTCTTGCGATAAATTAAAAAGATTTAATTAAAATTATTTTGTTTATCAAACACGCAATGTACTGTGTATTCGATGCGTGTTTACTTTTTTCGTTTAATCTAAAACATTATTCAAGACACAGTTGACCCCCCTATAACACTGTTGATTCTTCAGCACTGTTGAATGTGCAGCGTGTCAATTAGCTAGATGTAAAAGTTTTTAAACTGATGTTTAATTTCAGAAATTGCTAATATATTAAGTGCAGATTTATTTGCCTCTCTCTGCTCCATCAACATAATTGCATTAATAATTGCACCTTGTTCTTCCAATGTCAGCCTAGAAGTTTGACAATGGCGTTTGGAACGTCACTGGAATCATTTTCGACCGTAGCAATTTCAGAATTATTAAAACAAGAAAATTACGGTAAATAACATTAATAATTAAATTATTTCTTTTTCAGTTGGATTTTCCCAATAATGAAGGAAGAAAGCGAGTTTTAAAGGAAGAAGATTTATACAAATGTTCAAAATATCACACTTCAGAGTATCTTGGCGATCTGCTTCAGAAGTAAGTTAGTTATTATTTAGTTGTGGACATCGATATTTCAGTTACTGTTACCTAATTCTTTTAGATTTAATTATTATTTGGATAAGTCTAATCAAATTAAATAGAATTAGCGAAGATTGTTTTATATATATATTTGTGGCCGCTGGGTCGGCACCTCTTCGATGCCTTGTCAGAACTGACACCACCGTATCTTCCGGACACGGAAATTTGGTTAGCCGATATGTTATTTTTCGCGCGAGCGGTCGCGTCGTATGCTTTCGGACTCGGAATGGAGGCGGAAGGAGACAACCGTAATGAGTACACAAAGTTATCATTTAATAAAATACCCGTTTATTACGTATCTATTTACAGCTTGTAAATAGATACTATCTATTTACAAGCTGTATACAGATGCTTAGCAGTTGTTAAAATATTATATATATTTATATGTAGGGACGTTATTACTAAGATTACGACCCTGACTGCGAGAGAGAAAGACCTCACATTCTTTCGCGAGACGATAAATACCTTAAACACGTATTGGTCCTACGACGTTACGACGTATCGATGTTCAAGTCGGTGGGAACTTCGGCGATTCTGTATTGAGGGATATCCTTTAGGCTTATCTTTTTTCTGTTTGTTCGGCAAGGCGAGAGTTGGCGACGGCTGTAGTCGGCAGTTTGGATCACACACATTTCAAGAAAAAACTGGATGACGACGACGACTTATCGACCCCTCCTTTTTATTAGGGGGTTTGTCCTGGTTTTTTCATTACCTTATTAGGAGTTTTTTATTCAATTGCCCAATAGTTAATTTTTCGATCTTAGATGCCGGGTGACACATTTGTAAGCTGTGTCACCCTTGAAAGAAAGTGAATCCAGAGAAAAGATACGATCGCATTTTTTTTATTATTAAGTGTTGAACTCATGGGAAAAAAATAAAAAATTTTTCCCGTGAATTCAAACGTAATTTCGTTCATTTTAAAGCGAGTATTAAAGTTTATTAGAAGGGTTTATAAATGTTTATCAAGTCGGGCACTCACACATTAGTCATTATTACTTGTGTACTGAATATATGTAGCATAGTGCAGTAGAGCGTCGTTTATCCGAATCAATTGGGGACCGGGGTTGTTCGGATAACTTATTTTTCGGATAACCGATTATGTACGAAAAACTATATTAACCTATCTCGTGTTGAAATTTTTCTTCGTTGCGTGTCGCTTCCCGTTGAATTTTCGTCCATGTTAATCCTAACGTAAACTTTTTAAAATAATAATCCTGGCTATTGTATCGTTAAAAATGAATTCTTTATGTTTTACAAACGAAATAAATACATTGAAAAATATAAAAACAAATGAAAATTATACTTTAGGCCGACTGGAATTTTTTCGAATAACCGACTTTCGGATAAACGACGCTCTACTGTACTTAACAGTATAAAAATATATTGCAAAATTAAAATTTATAATATTTATTTGATTTACAATCAAAATTTTACTGGACTCACAACTAAAATAATATTTACTTTTTGTAGATTCCGTTCAAATTTTTTACTTGAGCTTTTTCTATAGACAAAGTAATCTACAAAACACATTATTTCACTTTTTTCATCGAACTGAGTCTAACAACGATTTTATTGGTTATTAACATTTAATCATTATCAATATATATTATAAAGGTAAGCGTACAGCGTGCATGCCGCTAAAACTGAAAAACGAGTCCTAGTATGATCAAGGGAGTTATATGGTGTGGTATCCCTCTATCCCCCACCCATGAAGAAAGTTCCCGTTTGTACCTGAAGAGCTTGCTGTTGAAGATATAAGGGCTGGAAGTTTTCGCCCTCTAGAAATTTCTAGAACACTCCAGAACATTCGAGATTATTCGAAAGCGTTCTCCAACATTCCAGAATGCTCCGGGATGTTGAACGGTTAGGAGTTGAAAGTTGAACTTTGGTACACGGTTAGGATACGTCACGAGAGAGCACACTAAGAAGGGATTTTTCGAAATTCCTCCCCACGGAGGAGAGGGGCAGGATTAGCACTTAACACTTCCATCAACAATGGAAGTGTTACTTAACAATGGAAGTGTTGCGTAACAATAGAATTGTTAAGAGAAAGCGATGTGAAAAACGCAGATGCATTTTTTTTCGTTTTTGAAAAAAATCGAACATATTTTTAGACCCATCTGAAAATTTTCTAATTAATCTGGAAACAGGGCAACTAATTTTTGCATTCTGTGAAAACGGGTAAGATTGGCAATAATGAGACGATAGCGAAGATCTTAATCTTCGCTATCGTTACTTTTTTCCCGGGGAATGCCGGAATTATCTGTTAGTTATTTATAAAACCCGTCTCTAAACTCCAAATTTAGCTCTTTGCCTTTTTATAATAATTAAAAAATATAAAAAGTTTTTAAAATAAAATATCGTAACGGACAGCGCCACCAAATGTTGCTGTGAAAGTTAAGCAACTGGTTACTAAATTTTTTTGAAATTTAGGATTTATAACGCCGAATGTATCGATGGCTGCGACAGGTACGTTTTAAATCCATCCAGCTAATACTAACTTTAACACTTTATCATCTCTTAAGAGCAATTTAAACAAGTGTTTTGTAAAGTCTTTTCGGGCGTTACGGTAAATAACTTGGAAGAAGAGCGGTTCATCACAACCTGTCTAACACGGACCACTTTTTGAACAATAATAGTAAAACAGTAATAATTAGTTGTCGTTGATCATCCTCTCTCTCGGGAAAAGGCCAACGACTACTTTCGGTCAAATTAACTTCAACCTTCTTCCAAAGCAGCCATTTTGTCTGTGCAACAGTGGTTATTGTTTCATTCGAATAGTTACGGGCGAGCACAAATTACGTTTTATTAGGTTTTCGAGGGTGCCGAGTTTAAATATTTGGTCACATTTTTTGCGAACCATGATTGGTTTGCAGATTATCATTTGATATTCGGCTGTGAATGGTATAGTACGTTGAAGTTGACATTAGAAAAAAAAATTAACATATCATATTGTAATTTCATTGGTCAAGTATCTTAAACATGACATTAGTAGAATAAACAACTAAACTGTTTTTTTGGTTTTCGTTTTAATCTTTGTTGTCTTTATTTTTACCCTGGCAGAGCCGTTTTATCCGCTAGCGGCTAGTAAATTGATAAATGTGCACATACACACCTTAATCGACACTTACTGAACTATTTATGCAACAAACAATATCATAAGAAATTTAGCGAAATTTGTATTATTCCAACTTGCAGATAAACAAATTAATCATAAAATTATTCATCAAATTAAATAGTAAGTACAGTATTTAAAATGAATTTTTACTTATATCAATAAAATACTATGAAATTTATATTTTACNGCAGTTTTAAATGTTTCCGGGAAAGTTAAGCAACTCGTTACTGGATTTTTTTAATTTAGAATTTATTTATATAAATATTTGAAATTCTACAAAATAATCTTTTGAAATTTGGAAATAATTAATTGAAAATTAATATTCTCTCAAAAGATTTTAATTAATATTTTCGTGTATCTAATAAATTCCCTGTTAATAATGAATAAGTAAAATCATAAAGATTAACATGATAAATCCTTAACAAAAATGATCCACGCATCAATTTGCTTTTCTAACAAATTAATTATTTCTACAACATATATTAATCATTACATTAATCCTTTTAAAAGGCATTTTAATTATATATTTAAAAGTTTTTGAATTCCGTACACGTTCGTTAGCCTGTTGCGTATTACACAGGAGAGTCTAGGTGTCACACGTGAAAACTCAAAAATATTATAAACTTTAGTAATTAATAGAAAATTTAATAAGTTAAACGTCCCTGTTTCCTGCGGACATTACTGTTCATTCTGCAACAACACACGCTGCTGCAAATTAGCGATCTCTTTAGGCATAATATTTATTAACGTATTAGTTTTAGAATTAAACGTTACATAGTTATGTTAACATTTCATTCCCCTTCTGTAATGTAGTAACTAATATAAAAGCACTCTCCATTTCTGTTTAGAACGTGTGTCCGGATTTTTAGCGCAGCACGTGTCTAAATACATTTCGAATAGCAGAATATTAGCATTTCGGGTTATTACAGATATTCACGTGAATAACATTTTACTGTATTTTCAAAATGATAATAATAATAATTGTTTTAAGAGCATTACATTGATTCATAGTTGTAAAAAATTTTTGAATAATCCGTTGATTGAAATATTGTATTCAATTTTTAGGTTTCATTGCAATTTCTTTTCAGAGAATGGAACCAGGAATTGCAAAAGGAGAATTCGAGCATACTGAAAGCTTTATTACGTTTTGTTGGTTGGAAATACTTAATAATTATTCTGCTTGTGCTCATTCAGGTATTGTAACAACCGATTTAAACGACATAAAGAATGTTTTAAAATAATTGAAATAACTGATATTTATATTCGTCCGCAGATGACAGCATTAATTGCAGGCCAAGCATACTTCGTAGGATTAATAATAAATTATTTTGAAAACACAGAGGAACCGAATCAATACAAGTTCTATGTTACTGTTGCGGGATTTTTTATTCTACTTGCGATATATTTCTGTATATTTAATATTAATGCGTTTATAACTGAATTATATGGAATGAAGTTAAAGATAGCTTTTTGCACTCTTATATATAGAAAGGTGAGTAGCAAATATAATGTGTTACAGGCATTATATTTATATTCTTTTTACGTGAGTGTATTTTTATTAAATGGATCGAAGAAATTAAACACAAATGCAAGCTACTTGTGAAAGAATTTTTTCAGCAATCGATAGTTGTGTAATTTTATTTTTTATAAAGTAATTTGAAATATATTGTAAAGAAATGAAATCGCAGTTTATATACACCATATAAAATCATTTATTTTGTCATGAAAAACGTTTAGTAGGTTTTCGGTGTTTTCTACAAACCGTCCTCAGACATTATATTACATTCTCTCGTTAGAATATCAAATTCTAATGTAATTTTGAATATAATAAATTTAATTTAACTAGGAATAAAAATACACCGAACAATTATTAGAAAGGCAAACGTTACAGAAAATCAAATCATAATAATAGCAAAAGTAGAACATTAAATATAATTATAAAAAATGTGTTAATATATAAATGAAGCCAAGATTGAAAATGTAATATTGCTTTGTTTTAACGAAGAGCAATCTATAAATTGGTATGCTTTAGCTTTCTCTTTACCTTGTATTTCTATATATTGTACATGGTTGACAAAAAAATGAGATATTACAATCAGCATAGAAGCCGATGGTAATCTTTCAGAGTCTCTATCGTTCAGACACCCGTCCATCATGTTGCTTCTGTATTTTCTATCTGTTTTTTACTCATCGCTAAGGATAGTAAATGCTCTGGTTTTATGATGTCGCTCTCCTCCCATTTTGCAGTTGAGCGTTCCCCTTGCGCCGTGGATGACAACACCGTGTAACACTATTCTTTCTTGCTGTTGTGTTTATGCTTTTTAAGCTGTACTTCGAGATTTTATTTCAGACTCGGATGTATTTTTTTTTTACTCCCAACTGTTAGTTTTCGTAGAGAATTCTATAAACTCCTGCTTGTGCTTTTTTATTTGTTTTTTCTTTGTCATTTCTAAGAAGGCTGTAAATTGTGAATGCTCTTGTCAATACCAGATCTGTTTCTTTACGATCTTCAATTACATTCATTATGCTTTTTAAGTTTTTATGAAATGGGAACTTAGATATTTTATTTCTTTTTCTTTTGTTTGTACAGAGATATCTGTTTTTATTGGTAAACAATACGTCGCAAAAACGTTATCGACAACTGAAATGCAAGGAAGTCGTGAGTTTTATTTCAATTGAATGTCATTAACACGAGTCCACAGTATTGCACTTCCTGTATTTGATTTTTTTGTAGTCGTTATTACTGTCATTGGTTAAAATATACAGTACTGGTATGATAATGAGCGAGTTTTCGTGTTAATGATGAAAAATTGCTTTGATTACTGGCATTAGTATACAAGGTATTTATTGTGAGAATTATGGATTAGATTTGTCCAAATGCACTGAGTATGTGTGGCTACACTAATTCTGTATTAACAAATTACTTTTTGTCCATATATAACTATAGTTGTATACGTGAGCACCACGTTTTGGCTCTATAGAAGACTTATTCAACGCAGCGGGAGAAGTTGTAGTAGTAATAAAAATAATTACTGTAATAAAAGTAAGCAAACTTCTAACAGAAGTAAAAACATTAAAAATATTACAATTTGTCTTAACCGAATTCTGTCTTTTATGCAAAAACCTGTAATAAAATTATCTTACGCTTATCGAATGTTAAACAGTTTTGAATAAGTCTATAGACTAGAATTGTAGTATTTAATTACATCTCTAATTTAAATATACACTTCGTTTAACAAAAAGGCAAATTAAATACAAAATCAGTTGCGTTTTTCGAAATTTGTTTTAATATATCATTTTGAGGTATTGTTCTTATCTTAATATAGCGTTGATTCATAGTTTTACAATCTGTATAAATGTATATACAGTTTGTTTTTCTATATCTATATATACCAATACATCTTGGAAGCCTTGATGATGATTTATAACTTAGACAATTCTATATTATTGTTAGAAAATTTAATCAATTAGTTTGTTTGAGAACTATATTAAGTATTATAGGCATTTTTTATTTAACGATGGCATAATTTTCTCAAAATATTCATTCTATATAAAACTTTCATTTGTAGGCAATTAGGCTAAGTCCTTCGTCACTGGAAAGATCGAATGTGGGACAAATGGTAAATCTTCTAGCAAACGACGTCAGCAAATTCCAAAATGTAAGTTAAAAACAATTTGTAAACAATATGTTCGATTAATGAATACCACGTGAATTCATATATTTCGCCGGTGTATTATATAATCTCGACAAAAACATTTCGGACAATAAGTCACTTTAAAAGTCGATTTAATATATCTTCAGTAATATCGATGAGAAAAATCTTTTATACTTATGATTATTTTACATCGCTAAACTCTGATTATAAGTAAGTACTTTTACAATTGACTTATACAACAGTTTTCGTAAGAGCGTTCGTTGTGTCAACAAGAGCCTGGCCCTCGTTTCGAGTGATTTCACACCAAAGTTACTTGATTTTTGAATAAACCATCCACATTTTCTTGAGGACTTTTCATAACGCGTTATTAATTCCACATCACATATTATTTATAGGGAAAAGTCAGAACTGATAGACGGACATTTTAGTGTTTTCATATTACGTTGGGCCAGCCAAGAATCAACAGTTTTAGAAGTGTGGCAACTGCACTATTCTTCTAGAATATAATAGTCCGTGATATAGTAAATTTTTTTATGATGATAGCAGGTTTTCGTCAAGAATTTGTAAGTATTTCGCCGCATTTATTGATCCCCTTTGTTAATTAAAAGGACAATTTCTCACGCCTTGGCTGACAGGTAACCCCACACTATACCGTTTGCTGCAACTTTTATACTGCGAAATTCACAGTCATAATTGAATGCCTCTTTTTTTTTTCTGACGACTTTAATTTTTCTAATTGCTTTTAATGCAGACTCGAAACTTCGCGTGATCATTATAAACAACCTCCTTTCATTATTGTTGTATCTGGCATTTGTGCTCTTGGGCCCACTTCAATCGCTCTTTAATTTGTATTTTTGTGAGAAGAGGTTTTCGCTTTTATCTACGTAAGCACTCAATTGTAGTGAAAATCAAGATAAAATCTAGGACCCAGCTGCTTTTCCATTGTAAAATTGTAGCAGAGTTTCCCACTGTTCTTGGCCAGAATTTTTCTAAGGAGGAAGTTTGCTATTGGTGAAATACAATCTTGTCACTAATAGCTTTTGTTTACTATTCAGCCTCTATTTTCCGGAAAAGTCATCATCAGGAAGACGGCAGTCATTCACGCTATATAGTGTGCTATCTTCTGTGCTGTCGAATGGTGCAATAATTGCAGTTATTGACAATGCATCAGCATCTACACTGACTCTGTTGCCTGTTTTTTCTGCTAGAGGATAGCGATAATACCCATCCCATTGTCTATTGAATGAATATGTGCGCAATTAACTGTAATGATCGGTATGTTTAGATGTGGATTAGAAGTCATCAAGGAAATTATGTTAATGACAAAGCTGATGAATTTGATAAGGAGGGTGCAGGCAACTCTATGCGTGATTGTATCTACAATGCTCTGTCACTTAACTCCACGCGGAAGTACATGCACCATAAATATGAAATAATAAGATTTAAGTATAGATATTACTATATTCTAGCAGATTAGTCTTTAAAACATTCACGCCTGAGACTTGCGAGAGAGAGAATTTAACATAAATTTCGCGCGTCGAGATAAATACCTTGATCCTCGAGGTTCGGTGTTCGCTTACCGGCTTTGGCGCCTTATGAAGGAGGAGGAGATTCTCTTATTTCTATCGAGACTGTTTGTAATAATCCAGAATATCAGGCATAATCGGTTAAAGTGCATTATCCTTTAATTTGGGAAGCGATTTAATTGGTAGGAACTGGGTGGCCTTAGGCATTAGACAGTTGAATGACCGCCAAATCAAATGACGACGACGAGCTTCATTATGATTTTGTTTGTCCTTTTATACATTTTCGACCGTTTCCTGTGTCGAGGTATCTGTAAATAGGCAATATCGGATAAAAACGACGTCCTTGTCCAATCCAATTTTTTGTCATCTCTTCCTTGGGTGAGTCGTTTCTCTCCAAAGAGAAGTCAGTCGAGAATTAGTAATATATTCAGCCAAATCTTATTTTCTCGTCGCTTTTGAACAAATGCTTGTGCCTTATTTTAACAAATTTATATTAAAGTTTACAATAATACATCTCACAACTGTAAATCATGACAATAAAATAATACATAACATTTAGACAACAAAAGTACAAAAGAAATCTGGTAATTACATCATGCTTAAGTCTCCAAAAACTAAAACGAAACTAAAAACTAGTATATAAGTATAACTGATTTCCAATTAGTAGGTTTATATATGATAATTTTTTCTTCTGGGTGTTTTGTTATGTTTTTGTTATGTTTTGGGGGTTAGTTTGAAAATACCAATCGAAAAGTTCAGAAATATCAGTTTTAACCAATACAATCTTTATAAGAATACTTTGAGTTCCGTAGAGTTTTGACTGTAAGTTATAAAATCGAATATACATATACGTTTTGTGTCGTAGTTTACAAAAAATCTAATAATCTTTGCAATAAAACCAGAATAATAAAACTAAATCTTATCCATCTTTTACAAAATTTGAATACATATCCAGTAAAGAAAAATATGCAGTTGTAGCTGCCACTTCCAACGATTCTAATTTCGAACGTTCCAGAATAAGAGGTAGGTAGTTCCGTTGAGAACCGTTTCAAACTCGAAACGTTTATACGTCGAATGTCGAAAGACGGTTCCATTTCCGAACTACCAATAAATCCTTTTTTTCTACTTATATGAATATTGCTTTTAATGGTACAATGTACACTTTGTCAATTAGGTTGATCTTCAAATCCAGATAATGTTGCAGGACTTTTGAGAAATAATGAAATTAATTTTGAACAATTTACATTTGTAAAGATGTTTTAAAAATTTATACTTTTATTAGAGATTTACATTTGTAAAGATGTTTTAAAAATTTATACTTTTATTAGAGATCTTAATTATTTGCTTTTATCGGTAAACTAGTAGACATGTGCGGCATTGTCCAAACAAAATGTAAGAAGGAAAATATTAAAATAAAATCTATATTAGGAGTTTGTTTATTTTATCCTACAGTTGTTTTGTTTATCACGAAGTGTCGAGACAATCAAATCGGGAGGATAGTGGAGCGTTCAGATTTTACGGAAATCCATATTTGTGAGTTCGCTGACTTACAGGGAAGATCAATTAATCCCGTGTCAGGGAGAGCCTAGGCGCTGTTCGTATAGAGTAGGTGGTGCTGGAGGCAGAGATGACATATCCCTATATAAATACCGTTTATTATAGTAGAAAGTGCTTACACTAATAAGATAAGCATTTCGTTGTCCAGAGGTTGTTCAATAGTTCTCTCGACACAGTTCACAGGTTTAGAGTTTGTCACGTAGGCTGATTCTTATGACGAAGATTCGTGATGGCTCTGGAGCAGTGTTGCCGTTCCTAGTACATTTGTACTTTTCTGGTACATTTTGCCCTTTCCAGTAAATTGAAAGTACATTTAGATTTTTAGTAGGTACAAAATAATATTTCACGTCTTAACGAAAAAATGAGAAAAAATGGGTTTAATAAAGTCTCACTAGTATCACTGCTTGCTAATTTAAATTTAATCACAACATAGATAGTTGCACGTGTAAACGGTCTTGACTCAGTGGTCTTCTTTCACACGTTCAGTTGTCTGCACATTTTCATCAGGACCTTGACAAAATTTTTTATGCCACGTTGTTCAAACAATTCAACTCCGTCAAACAAAAATAATGGACAGGTAAGGAAATCAATGATTTTAAATTTTTGTCGTCAATAATATCAAAATATCCGTTAAGTCAGAATCAAATTATTACAGAAAATAGTTTTGAAATTGTACGAGTATAAATAAAATAAATACTTTTATATTATTTTTTACCACTATAATTTAATTCTTAAATTATGAACTTCAATTTTAGTAATCGTAGTAAAAGAAATAAGAGTTAATGTTACGTGTGGTTTCAAAATGGCCGCGCTTCCGACTGTTTCAAGGTCTATATAAGAAGGCCAGGACACGCGTGATCTACTTCATGAGCCGCCATTTTGGGTTTTTTTGAGTCGCATGTTTTAAGCAAACAAGAATATAATAATATAATATAACAAATTTATAATTATTTTTTAAAGCACAATTGGTTATAAAATTAAGATGAAATTCAATAGTATTACTGTATTAATAAATGATGTCAATGTAATACTCATTATATAATAACTTATAGATGTGTAGATATATTTTTAATTTATAAATAGCTTTCAAAAAATTCCAAAAATAAAATTTTAAATTAAATTATTTGACAATAAACTATATATATATATAAATTACGTGCCTATATATATAGGCACGTAAGCAAAGTATTCTTAGAACTAGTACATTTTGAAGGAAAATAGTACGTTTTTTGAAGGCGCTTCAGTACGTTTTGAAATTTCATTGCGGCTACACTGCTCTGGAGCAGAAACGATGACGATGAAGTCTTGATGCTCGTTAGGCGAAGTCGAGTGGCGACGTCGATGTTGGGTAACGACAGAAGTGTCCAACGTAGAAGACAGATTTATCGCTCGTAACAATTAGCGAAAATCTCCTTGCACGTTGACACACGGTGCAAAGCGTTAATTATCCGAGTTGTATGTGTTCTTGATAATCGGGGATTATATCAACTTTCGTTTTTTTATCGCTAAATCTGATTAGTCGATCTCCCTTGTCAAGGAGGCCTAACAAGTATGAACAAGCTAATTCAAGTTCCTCTTGTCAGAACAAGATTTTTGAAAAAGGTCGGTTGGCCTGAGTCCTTCTGGACAAGTAGAGACAGGTATGAGGCGGACTCGTAGGAGGACTACCGACTCAGCTCCGGATTGGTCGGACAACGAATCCAAAACTTAGATATCAGGCAATGCAACCGTTAGAACAGGGAGAAACAAGCCTGGCCTAAGACTGCATTGTGAGAAGCAAGCAAGAAATATTGCTGTGTATATATTGTAAATATTCGTCAAATAAACGGACTTAGTCTGAGTTCAAGATGCTATTTTTTATTGACCATAGAACGGAAATCAAAAGACACGATTTGAAATTTGTTTCTTTCATTCACGCTTTCCAAGTAGCTGTTTTTTGTAACTAAGCGTAACGGAACTCCCATCTGGGGAGAGGGAGAGACAAACTCAAGGCTGAATTCGATCTTTAAATCGGAAATGAACAAAATTCCTTTTACGATTTACGACTCTACGCCGCCGTTTTAGTATAAATCAATGGTGTCTGCCTACATATATATTTTTTGCCTTTTTAAAAAATAAAATATTTCTCTAAAACAACCAAGATTTTGCTAATTTCGTGTGGGTTCGGACCTGGCTGGGACATCACATATATACTATGTTTATAATACCGATCAGCAACCGTCAAGTTCAAAAGCAATTACAACAGAACATAATGATACTGTGGAACCGTTTAGTCCAACAAACTAAGCAATTCCGAGAAACCATTCCATTAGAATAGTTTTGCACTTGGACCAATTGAAAGAGTAACGGTTCCAGAGACAGAGCTGTACTTTTCTCACCTGTAATCCAGAGTTCGAACATTATGTAATAGCGTCTCATGATGTAAATAGGTTCAATATTTTGTTATTTAAAAATATAAACTTTTGTCAAAAAAATTAAAATCAAAATGATATACACAATGAGCAGAGCGCCCAACCTGGCATTTCGCGAAATTAGCGTAGGCTTTCTAGTAGTAAGCTTTATGTAAAAAGTGCACACTGAAAAGATGATGTGAAAATCGGAATTATACAATTTATTTAGCGTGAGAAAGTGTATTTATTATTCTATATTGTTAACTTTAACAGAAGACAAAAAGTGACACTGTTGTGTTAGAAAAAGAAATCCACTTTCTTTCACAAGTTGTTATGTCCAACTTCGACAACCATCTGTGTATCTAACTCCCCTGTCCATTCCATCAACAGACTTAAATCTATGATTCTTATTGGACGAATCATCCGATAAAAGGGGTGATTTCTTGCTATTCGAGACAGTCAACAGAAATATGACATTGCGTTAAGAGACACGCAGTCCTCCATAATTCGATGGTGCCATATTAGCAAGTTCCCTCACTCTCATCCTTTGCGTTGAGCCCTGTCTGCTGCAACAATGCACTGCCTTCATCACAGAATAAAAGACTGCCATCGAGACATTCAATTAAGGTAGTATGTCTAAGTTGTAAGCTCTTTCTTTTGCGATTAAATAGAGGTCTAGCATTTCTTTATGTATCGAGTAATTTGTTTTAAATATTTTTTCCTCATTAAATTTTGTTTTGTTGCTTTAAATAGTCTCGTTGTTGAGCTCAACTTCATGCCAAAATCCATGAATCCATGATCCCTCCTACAATAAATTTAATCATTAGCATGCCCGACGCTCTAATTAGGCTGGAGTCAGGAAAAAATGAACAGGACGATCGTATGAATTTCCGATTCTCAAATTTAAATACAGTAGAGCCTCGATTATCCGACTCAACTGGGGACTGGGGTTGGTCGGATAATTGAAAAGTCGAATAACTGAAAAGTATGAAAAAATCCATTACTAGTGTAGTATATTATTATATCCCATGTAATTAGTATATTAGTATATCGCTATTAATCTACTTCGCGTTGAATTTTCTTCGATGTTAAGCCTAACAAAAATTTTTTAAAATAATAATCGTCGCTATTGTATCGTTAAAAATTAGAAAATTAAGCCTCGTTTAAATACTGGCTCCCTTTCATAGTCGAATGAGTATTGCCAGCTAAAACACGTAAAAAGAATATTAAAGTAGCCAAGACATAGCCAAATATTGTAGCGCCACATCACTAGCAGACATTTGAAATTTGCCAACTAGGACGGTCTGTTAATCGAAGTGTCGGTTAATCGGGGGTCGGATAATCGAGGCTTCACTGTAATACTAAAAAACTTATCCTAGTGTCACTGTGGACAGATTTTCCAGATCTGAGGCAGAACAAGAGTGAGAAGCTAGTTTTCTTCACCCTGACTGCCCATAGTACCAATTTCTAGAGTTATACAAAATGTATAGATAAAATTATAACCAGACTGGTTTTGTTTATAAATATTATAAAAGTAACATACAGCTAAAACCAAAAACATCCAACACCACATATATTAACTTGAATTATACAAAATTTAAAGAAAATCTATACATAATGTAACTCCTCCTATATTCATCAAAGTATGAAAAATTTCAATCCAACACATTTATTTCTGCATTATCACAGTGCCTAAAACACCTTGTGTATAATTGTCTAGACACATACGCTATTATCTAAATGTCATTTATTGTTAAAGATTGCTTTTATAATGAGACAATTTTTCTCTCTGACATTATTTCTGAAATTATATCGATTTGTAAAAGAATAACTCTTTGCGAGTAGAATGAAAAGTGTGGGACAGTGCAGTATGTACTGTATTGCTAGAATATAAACGTCATATGTTCGTGAATTGCATGCAAGAACATATTTCTTTAAGTTTTACAAGGTTTTCAATGATTTTAAAAACTACAGTAGAGCGTCGATTTTCCGAATCAATTGGGGACTGGGGTTGTCCGGATAACTGATATTTCGGATAACTGATTTACGTACGAAAAAATAGTTTAACGTATCCGATGTCGAAATTTTTCTCTGTTGCGTGTCGCTTCGCGTTGAATTTTCGTCGATGTTAAGCCTAACAGACTATTGTATCGTTAAAAATTATTTTTTTATTTTGTACAAACAAAATAAATATATTGAAAAATATAAAAATAATAATAAATTATACTTAAGATGTTAATTTAGTATCAAAAACGTAGAATATTTGAGTAGCCCAAGACATAGCCAAAGATTGAAGCGCCACAGCACTGGCGAATATTTAAATTTGCCGACTGGAATTCTTTTAGATGATTGACGTTTCGGATGATTGACTTTCGGAAAATCGACGCTCTACTGTATATGGACATGCTGTCTGTAATCTTTACAGTGAAGTAGCAGTGAAGATAATCGACTCAAAAATGCAACAAAATGCGCACATACAAAATATACCATCTCCCACATTGAGAACACATATAGAACACATTCAGAACACATATTCTTAAGAATTTTTAAGAATTTTTGGAAAATACACAAACCCAGTAATTTGCCATTTTCAACAGTCTTGAATTCCCTGGTACTGTAGATGCCAGAATAAAGACCTTGTACTGTAAAAACAAAAGTAGTACGTGAATGTTTAATACATTCATGATATAGGTAGGCTATTTTATGAATTCAAAAATTATTATATTGAAATTTATATTAATTTTAATCGAATGAATAGTTATTAGGTATAGTCTATATAACATTTCTATTTATTACAGAAAGTTATCTCCCTATCACTTTTATTTACATCGCCTTTTTTCATCATTACTTCGATAGCCATGTTGTGGAAATATTATGGATGGACTATTATAATTGGATTCTTAGTCATATTTCTCTATCTTCCTATACAAATTGCTCTGAGTAAAGTATATTCAAAATTGAGGTAATTATTATTTTAAATGATATAATTGTAAAGTATCTGTAAATAAAATAAAGAAATCGTTATTCATTATTTAATAATGTTTAATAGAAATGAAATTGGTGTTTCTAATATACATAAAATGTTATATACTTAATCGATATCTATGCTTTTTTTTTAACTCTTTCCTTCCTGTGGGCACTAAGAGGGCCTCTTTTTGCAAGCCATTATGAGTTCGGCCAGGCTCACAATTGGGCTGCCGGGTGGTGAGGGACGGGGCCCAACATCTTTGAACGGACCACCCCCGAAAAATTCCTAGGGATTTTTTCGACCTGTTCGGATTCGAACCCGGGTCTCCCAGAGCGGTAGGCTGCTATCTTGACAGTTCAGCCATCCAGCCACCGATAGCTATGCTACATTAGCTGGTATTAGATATGTTAAGATGGCCAACGTATTATCAAAATGATCGGGGATGCTAGGGTTCGAATCCGGTCGCGCAACCCAAGAATTTCTGATGATACGCAAATGCTAGATGAGGGTCAGAATATGCAGACAAGCCAGTATGGCCTGACTAATCCATTGTGGCCATATTACGATTAGAAAGACCAGAGGATTAAAAAAACCAAACATTAAAATAGTTGTTTGTATAAACGAACAAATATATATAAAAACACGCTTTTTATTTTTGGAATGTAAATAATTTGTGTGAAATTATACATAAAGTATGTTTGGAAAATAAATATTATACGCACATGAATCATGCCGAATGTCTATTTGCTTCAACAGTGTGTTAATTAACATTTTTGTAGAATATCTATTCTTTATTGACGTGATATTATCAGACACCATATTATCATCAGACTGATTATAAAAGCATCCAAGAATAATTCAAAATGTATAGCAGAGTGTGCTGCTATAAAATGAAAGCATGGAAAACGTTTGAGCTTATATCTTTATGATTCACGCCAGAGTTGGTTGATGAGAAAGTAAAGATAATTCTGTAAAGATAGTAAAGGTTTTAATTTGTATCACTTTTGTAGAATTCATAATGTTTTCGCTGTAAAATTAATAATTTGTTATTGTTGGAATCATAATACTAAACATAGTTTGCGATTTACCAACGGGCTGGTCAGATGAAGTTTTCCGTGTTTTTATCACGTTAAGTACATTGAAATAAGGCCAGTTTTCCATGAAAGACCTCCGGAAGACATTTCTCTGGGCAGATCGTCCAAATGTCACGTTGCCTTAAAACGAATAAAACCTGAAACCAGATGTGAAGAAAGGACTAAATTTGATGATATTGTCTAAGATGGCTCAAGCAGAAGGGTCAGTCGTAAGAGTGAAGGAGACGAACATTATCATTTTAGTTGACTCATCATCTTTAGCAATAAACTCGAAGTTTCAAATTTACAAAAACAGGTTAGTGAATAAATGTCTTAATAACGTAATGATATAATATACAGAAAAACCTGTAAGTAGATAAAGAATATTGTGTATTTAATCGCTATTCTCAGTACACAGTTAAATGCAAAATTCACAGTTAAAGCAATAAACACATATGTATCCCAGTACTCACATACTATATTGGAGTTATACATTGGACTCTCACAGAAGTAGTAGTGGTTTAACACATACTGATCACAAAATTAATTTCAGATGTCAATTAAATTAGAATTGCAAATAAAAATTTGTGGAATGGAATTATTTCAGATCACAAAATTAATTTTTCAATAAATTTTCTAAATAAATTTGAGTGGCACTAAATACAAAATTAATTTTTCTAATCACAAAAGTAATTCTTACTCAAAGGAAATAATCCGAATGTTGAGAATATTCAAGTAAATTTTTAAAATATGAAAGTATTAAATGTTTTAATATCGAATAAAATTAAAACACAATAATTGTATGAAATAATATAACACCAAAACGAATTTTTTTTATTTTTACACGAATAGATCAAAAAAGTTTTATTTTATTTAAGCTTTTCCAGTTTTTTCATTCACTTTATCTAAAACATGATATACTCATGGTCTAATTTCTGATATTTTATAAATTAAGATTTCAAATAATTTGTTAAGTAATAGTTTATCATCAATACTAGAATTAATTATTTTCTTGATGGATATTTGTCTTAATATTTGGGTACATGACAGTTTGAAATAATATAACACTGGAATTATTTTGAAAAGGTGCAATAATCATTTCAGATATAATAATTGTAGTATTTAGAAAACTTCTCAATTCATTTTATTTCTTTATTTTTCATAAAATATATTGAAACAATAAGGCAAAGTTTATTTAAGAGAAATCTTAATCACAAAGTTTAATTAAATAAATTTTCTGATCACAAATCTTAATTAATATTATTTTAACAATAAGTTTAATATATTCCGTTTAATTATAAAATTTATTATAAAATTAAGTTGTACTAATTTGTAATAATAATTTTTAAAAATAAAAATTTGTTGAGTAAATTAAAATGTGACAATTTGAAATAATATAACATTGAAATTATTTTGAAAAGGTTTTTATTTTTACATTACGGTTTATTTAAGTGTTTCCACTTTTTCCTTCAGTTTATCTAAAGCAAGATATATTTCTGCACATAATAATTTTTCAGGATATAAATTATTTTCAGATCAAAAATTTCGAGTAAATTAAGATTATAAATAATTTTAATAGTGAAAAAACTTTTAAATTCATTTCTTTAGAAAAGATTTTCATATTTAAAAAACTTTTCAGTTCAATTCATTGCTTCATATAAAAATTAATATGTGATAAATAATTTTTTACAATTTGTACTAATATCCGATGTGATTGAGAATTATTTATATATATTTTCTAATATCCGAATAAATTAAAACACGACAATTTGAAATAATATTTTAACAAAGTTTAATATATTGTTTAATAGTGTGTTTAATAGTATGAAATAATATAACACCAAAACAAAATTATTTTTGAAATTTTTTTTTAATTTTTTACACTAATAGATTAAATTAGTTTTATTTAAGCTTTTCCAGTTTTTCATTTAGTTTATCAATAATCAGTGTTGTACTTCAATGAAAAATTATTTAAATATAATCTTGTTTTTTTATTTTTTTAATAAGAATTTACATAATATTAAAACACAGAAAACAGTGAGCAACAAAATTGGCATTGAATACCGCACCTCTGTTCAATTTAAGTATAAATACAGTCACTAGAAGCAATGATTATTTACAAACTTTACCATGTAATAAGTTGTATCAAGATGAGTCGTAAGTATATATTTTTTTTATATCTATAGTTGATTGACATATTTTTTCAATATATATATATATGTATAATATTAAAACGTAAAATAATATTTTCTTCTTTAACTCTGTATAAAATAAAAATATTTAATTAATAATAATAATATTGTTTTATCATTCTCATTCATTAGTAAAAAACTTACCTCATTGTTAGCAATAACACAAAAATTATATACCTATACAAATTAAAAAAATAATAAATGTAATCATATTTACTAATTTTTATATAATAACAATTAAAAATATATTTACCATGTTCATCCATATAAAATTTATAAGAGACCAGTGAGCAATAAAATTGGTATGGTTATTGGCATGGCATGTAAATTTTTGAGGATTTAGGTATGCCTAACTTTTCAATGTCAAATGATGGAATCTTTATATTATATATTAATTCGGTTAAGTTTAAAAAATTAAATTCAATTTTTTCCTCCCTTGTAATAAATTATATCATACTTTTTATATAAATTAAATAAAATTTCATATACTTTACTATGACATTGCCGATATCCAAAATTATGTTTTTAATAAGATAAATACAGCCGTGTAAGAAATTTCCAAATGTAACAGATTTTTTATCTCGTGGTGATAAATTATCAAAAGTAATAAATTGATTGTAAAAATCTATCTTCCCAAAATCGTTTTTATGTCTTGCTGCAAACCCAATTTGTCTACATAATGTGTTGAATGGAAGATTTTCATCTTGAATCGTGAAAGCTTCAAAGTCAATGATAACTCCTATATCAGAAACTATATTATAATACACAGTATTAATTTTAATAAAATATAACTTTAACACTTACCATTTGAGTATTTTTGAGTGTAGAAAATCTAATTTATATTAAAATATATCAATTAAATAGAGACATATAAAAAAAACTATATATTGTAAATTTTTTTAAAAATATATCAATTATGTATAGATATAAAAGAAAATATACTTACAACTCATCTTGTTACAGCTTATTAAATGCCTAAGCTTGTAAATTATCATTGATTCTAGTGACTGTATTTATACTTAAATCTATAAAAATATAATGTTTAAAATTTATATTGTAATTGAAACGAAACCTGTGTTTTTTAAAATTAGTTACTAAAATGAAATAAAAGTAAAAGATTATAAAGTATAAGAATTTAACTCAAATTGTACAGTAGCAATAATAATAATAATATTAAAATTGTGCCATTTTTCAAATCAAATTTATACTGTCTAATCAAACCAACTCGTTAAAGTTTGAATTACTATATGTTTTTATATACTAATCCATAATTTCTTTGAAATAATATTTATTTAAGTGATAAACTCTAATTAAAGATATTAAATTTTTGAAATGAAACTCTGATTATATATCGACAAACTTTAAGAATAAATTTTACAACAATAAAGTAATTTATTTTACAAACAACTTATTTCATTAAGTTAACTAAAAACATAGTGTTACGATTTTATTATGTGTATTAGTTATATATTAAAGTATGTGCAATTAGATCAGTTTTAAATATATTTTAATTAATTTCTGGATTAATTTAAAGTTTGGTGAAAAGCCAATGCTCTTCTGAGACCATTGTATATATGATATATAAGATAAAAAACTGGGGAATTCGCTGGTCACTTCATTGGGTGAATTTTCTCCGTTATTAGGTAACTGCGTAAGTTAGTGTACGAGTTCTGTATGATTAAACGTTGTTGTTTATAAGAACGAATTCAGAACCAACTGCATCCACATCAAGTCGAACAAAGGGTTGAAATATATCATTCCGATAACTTTAGCTCATCGCAGTGCCACAGCGGAAAACATCTAAGGAAATCGCACCTCGCATAAGGACGCAAACAACAGAAAAAAAATTGACATTGAACAATGTTCATCGATAGATTCCTGAATTAGTCAGATTTCACACATAAGTTTGTTGATGACTGTAAAGCAAATAATGACTCATTTGTTCAACAGAACATTTTCTAATCGTGTATACTCGAAGTGACTGGTTCCTGAAGCATGTGTAAACGGCTTCTCCCTGCCTGAAAAACAATAAAACAGAAATATCTGGCCTTCAGGCATAAAAATCATGTGCAGGCAATCTCTTCTTACAGTAGTCACAGTTTTAGGTAATCCTGTAGATGCAACCAGGCTTGCACGTAATGCAGGTGTGTTGCCTTCCTATTGCAACGGACTGATAATACTAAGTAGCAGTCATCGGAAGATGTTCTAACTCGAGAGTGACTCAAGCCGGCCTTCTGCTTCCTTTTCCAATAACTTGCAATAGGGTGCACGAATGAAATTACAAAATGGCAGACTGAAAAATGGAGCAGCTTTTCCAATAGCTTGACCGGATTCTAGCCTACCCAATGCTTGCCAGCCACCTTTCACCATCATCGAAATGACTTCTTTGAGACATACCGTACAAACTGGCTATTTTGCAATTTTACTGTCATGTTCGTAAATGAGTTATAAAAACACAGTATTAAACACCTGTTTGTAAGTATAATTTGATTTGGATATTTCAAACAAAATCAATGTGTATTGTACTCGTGTCTCAATATTTGCTTATCACACTGAAATTATACAAAAAATTTATCTAATGAAGCTTACACATTCGCTCTTTATCTGAGAATTTGCATATCGTGTTTGCTTTTTTTCAGGGAAGTTTAGTATAAAAAGTTATTGAAATAGCATAAACAAAACTCTTATAATATTCAGTGCTACAAAATAAAGGCTTCGCTTAAATGTAACACTGTTTTTAGATATAGAATATACGTCCAGTATTTAATTTAATATCATTTCATAAATGCATATATAATTTCGTAATAGATTACAAGCAGCTGTATTGGGAGACGAAAGATTGAATCTGTTGAACGAGATGATTGCTGATATGAGATTAATAAAAATGTACACCTGGGAATTGCCATATGCCGCATTAATAAAAAAAATCAGAATGTAAGTGCAATGAAATACAGTAAAACCTGTTTAAAATGGAACCAAAATAAAACGAGTAACTGCTTAAACAGAAAATAATAAAATCTTCTCAAAAACGTATTTTTGTTTTAAAAAGTAAACCCTATTCAGAGCATAAGCCACAAACTTCAGAAAATATTTGACACCATCGGATTCCTGTTTACACTGGTTTTATTGTAATTTCGATACTCTAATCAGCTTTAGAAAATTATTTTCAAAGCACTGCAATTGTTTTAATAAATTGTTTCTATTTGCAGGAAAGAAATGAAAAAAATTCGAATGTTTTTATATGCAAGCGGAATATCGTATATATTGGCATATCCTATGTCGAAATTATTCATTCTCCTCTCATATCTCGCATTCTTTTTAAATGGAGGACAACTAAATGCCGAAATTATATTCGTCACAATGACATTTTCAATGTATATCTACAGCAACATTGCCAATCTGTTTTCTCAAGCAGTGGGTTTTGTTGCAGAAATTTTTGTTTCGTTAAAAAGGATACAGGTAATGAACAATTTTAAAAGTATTCTTTTTATATTATATTATAGCAATACTAATTTAGAAATAATTCGAAAATATCAACATATAATTATTAAGATATCAAATATTAAAACTCCACCATAGCGAAATCTGAATAAAGTAGTAGTCCGGGACGCCCCCTAGTGGGCGTTGTTTACAAATTTCCATGAAGCACGGTTCCTTTGACGTTTTTGTTCCTATCAATATGCTCTACAGCTCTGTTAAAGTCACAATGGTAAGATTAGGTGAAGAGGTGGCGACCCCCCCCCAAACTGTAGCCACCTGTGCAAACAATAAAGGCAAAGGAACCATACCTCTACTCTCGACCCTTCGCCAGATATAAGCCTCTGAAATAATAAATTCCTATTACAAATGTACTGAATTATTTATATTGTTATATTGACCAAATAATAATTTATTGGCCAAATGAATAATAATAATTCATATTGTTAATTTAAATAAGAATTAAAATTGTTAATTTGAATGTTTGAAATATGACACAGGATAGGGGCGCCTCTAGTGTCCGTTACAGACAGACGGATACCCGTTGAATAGGTTATATATATAGATTAAAAATCTGGCTAGACGAGAAAAATTACTGAATAAACAATACTTTCTGTTAAATTCTACCACGGACCCGAAATATTTTCAACGCAAAACTGTAAAATGATTCCACTTGTGTATGAAATCGTTTTTATTTACCAACTTTTCCATGTATCATGCAAATCTGTATTCTGTAAACGAGATTGAATCATTTAAGATTAACGAATGTCAAGTGATGACAGACATAAGATACTAATTTTTTAAGTGTTATTGTTTGCTGAAATTAGTTTCAGAAAAAAAACAATAAATATAAATTAATACGTTTTAGAATGTATTAATTTATATCTTAATTTAAATTTATATATATTAATTTATTTATGTATATTTATGTCAGCTTGCTTTGTATACAAAAATTCTTACAGTAACAGAGTATCACCCAGCAATCTAAAGCAAGTTGATTAAAACTACTTTAAGAAATACGATCAGAATACGTTGTTCTCTATTGTTGTAAGGCGATTAGAAGTTTTCAATGTTTTTCTTAAACTCTTTTATCTTGTAATGGTTTTTAAATGCGCTTTTTATGCAAATCCGCGTTTGACCAAGCCCATAGCGACTGACGTGAAGGTTATATATGATGGGTTTTCTCAATCGATTACAGTACATCCCCTATAACACGGGTTCATATAAAACTGATTCCTATAACACGGCGAAAAAATTGCGAACGTGTTCATATAACACGCTACAGGAGACTTGTATAACACGTTAAAACATCATCGCCGACTCGTGTCGCAACAGGATTGGTCGAATCTAGACCAATAACAAATATTGCACGAACCGTTGAGTTTCAACTAGCAGCAGACCTACTGAAAACCATTCATTATTTAACGGCCATAAAAATTATGTTTATACTAGCTGCAAGGACCCACTTCGCAGGGTTTTTATTTGTAGGCAAAAAGTAACGATAGTGAAGATTAAGATAATTACATTATAGCCAATCTTACCCGTTTTCACAGAATGCAAGAATTAGGTTCCTCGTTTCCAGACTAATTAGAGAATTTTTACGTTTAGTCAAACGAACTATTTTCAACCTTTCTGGAACGTTTACAATCGTTCTATAATCGAACCAATAATCGAATTTTATGTTTGAATGTAATTCGAACAAATTCGAACAAAACATTCGAAATAGAAAGCCACTTTGAACCACTTTCAGCCTCATATCTCCCGCACCCTTATAGCTATCGAGACGCAACCACCCCTGTGCACGAATGGAGACTTGGGGCTACTACTACATACAAACACCATTCACGTGCGATGTGTAGTTTTGGCGAAAAAGTGAAATATATGGACACACACGTCCAGATTAATCATTTCTCCAACGTCAAGCGAATTTTTCGCAGAAAAATAACTTATCAGGAAACATGCGCCCACCGTTAGATGCGCCGCTCCACGACGAAAACAAGCTTAAGCAATGGCGTTGTCGAACGGTGCACACTCGGTAAATAATCGTACAATTTTTTGTTTATAGCATAGTTTATATGGATTACTTCCAAAAAATTATGCGTATTAGCCACTAAACTGCACACGTGCCAGGCTGTGATTGGCTCATGTATTTAAGTGACTTGTACGGCGCGTAAGTCATATAAAACGGAACGTGTCTACCGTATTATAGGGGGTCTACTGTATTATTTAAATGAATTATCGGATACTGGCTTTCTTGAAATCTATCCCATATTGCCCAGAATGATAGCCTGACATTATCAATACTCTTCAGCAGTTCCAAGAGTGAAAAATTTGGCTTGATCGCTGTTTTAATAACTTATTTGACTATTTTCCAATTATTCAGCACAAGTTTTACCAACATAAAACAAAATTTGAAAATTAACTTAAACACTTAACAGTTTATCGATAAATCAGCTGTATAAAAAATTTCTGAAATTCTTCAATTGCTTATTGTGGAGAAGTCGAAAACCGACTTAATTGCCTTGTTTATATTCAGCTTGTGCACAAACTTCTATTTAAAACTCTAACATTTTCAAAAATTCAACTTAGGATTTTCTCCTCCTTCAAGAAAGAGAAAACAATGCAGTCAAAACAACAGGAGAAAGTGAAAATTCAACCGAATACCAAATACGAATAGATAGTGTCACAGCTGCATGGAAAAACGTAAGACATGGCTTTAAATTTAATATAAGTTGTTTAATAAAAATAATGTTTTTTACGATTTGTTTAACTTGATTATTTTAAAATCGATTAATTAATAATAATAACAACAAGAATCATTAACTAGAAGGTTACTATATTCTTTCGTCTTGAATTATTTATATTATGCTTGTGTCTACTTCGGAAAATTCCGGTGAATTAAGACTCTCCGTCGGTACACAGGAATGTGCAAAGTAGACATAAGTATAATATCGATTAAAAGGATTTTTACGTAGAATGTTGTGATCGTCACTGGCTTTTTAAAATTTATGTCTGATAAAGTGATAAATTAATTAGCAACAATTTTTAAGGTTTGAACCGAAACAAGAGTTATTTTGACTTTCGAGTGGATAAGTAAATAACCACATGAGATTTTACGGATTGAGTGTCAATCCGCCTGTCATCGTAGAACCGTTGACGACATGCTGCTTGAGGCGCTTGTCATAAAATGTATTGCGTTTGCGTGGAACCGTGTCATAGGATATCACGTATTTAAATTAAGTAAAATGAGAATAAATTTAATGAGTCATACTCTGGTTGTGTTACAGCAGGTAAAGATAAAATATTTATTTTTTTTAGTTAGCGTTAATCAGTTTGTTTATTAGTAAAATTTAGATAACGTTGCATTAAGCATATTAAAAATTCACAATGTTTTAAAAATGGGTGGTTTATAAATGGCAAATCTTAGTGTAAACAAAAATCTGCATCTTACAGGATACTATTAAAATCTATCTCAAACGACCAAGAAGCGCTCTCAAAGAATAATTATTATATTTGTAATCAGTTGTGTCTGTTAGAACTTGATGCCTGCTCAACATCTGACTCTTCTAGAGTTACTATTTCGACATTCCACGGCTTTCCGGGCGTCTCATTTCTGATATAAGCCAAGTCAAGTGAAGAAATTCCTGGCCTTTCATTGTAGAGGATAGAAATGAAACATTGTTACTTGGAAGACTTCTCTTCTTCCCGATAGATGCTTTCTATAAGAATTTTATGGTATTGTGAATGTACCGAATGAGCATTGTCCTTGGTTTTAATACAGGTTTTTATTTATTTAGCTTTCTAGCTTTAAACCATCGTAGAGGCTTCCACAAATTTCTTTTGTCTTCAAGCTCAATGCACGTTTTCTGTGTAGAAAGACAGTGTGTTCACTGTGATATTCTGGCTTGCCTGAGACATTATCATAAATTAATTAATTGTTTATTATTAATATTTCTGATTTATAACTTTTAACGTTAGCTGTGAATATTGTAATAACTCTGCTTTTTTTAAAAATAGAAATTCGAACCAACATTAAATGGGATATCACTAAACATCCAACCGAGAGAATTATTAATTGTTATAGGTCCTGTTGGATCAGGGAAGGTAATTATCTTGTTTTAAATTTTAAATTAAAATTATACGCTTTATAATTTTAAGATTGTATAAAAACATTAATATAAATTATAAGTAAACAATTACATTTTTTTGTTTATAATAAAATAAATTTTCAAAATTTTGTAATTTTACCTCTTGTATAAATAATTTTATCTGTTCTTAATTCTATTTTGATTTGATTTTAATTTTTGACGAGAAAATATACATTTTTTGAACTTATCAAACAAAACGGCAAATCTTATTTATGTCACGTAGGCCTACGAAAAAGATAACTTGTTGGACAAGTATTTGTATTATGTAACTCGTGTGCTTAATTCCTTATAAAATCTTCTGTTACGTTTTTGTTTACATAAAACGAACTGACTAATAACAAGTGAAAATGATCGAATAACTGAATGTAGGAGTGTATAATTACGTGCTGAAGTCTTTGTTCATCTAACACATCGAATTTAGACATGAATATTTTTCTAAAATTATCAACACCAAAATTTTTATTACTTCACTTTCGTCTTAGAAAATTTTCTAAAAATATTCATAACATAAAAGTTATTCTTATTGCATAATTTCTAATTTTTTAACATTATAACAATTTATTTTTTAAAAATGTCTGCAATCTGTTTTTATAAACTCTTTGTAGTTGTTATGAAATACAGAACTGTAGAATCATATTTGACTTCCAATTTGAAATTTCATTGGACACATCTTAAATAGAGATTAGATTGTATCTTCTAGTATGTTTAACTATTGAGTGCGTGATTCTATTGATATCATTACTTTTTAGTTTGATTATATGTATGACAGATTAGTTTTTGGCATAGATCAGAGATTTATTCATAAATACGTCGAAGGTTGTCGCAATAATATTCTGCACGCATAATTTAATTTTTGTTATGTGTTAATTGATGTATCCTACGAAAGATTGTTTGCAGGTAAAATCTTAGAGATTCATGAATGTGCTGTTAGAGTTTCTGTTAGGAATTCATAGATTATGTTGTGTCGCCTCTTTACATTACATGCGTTTTAAAAGAAAGCAGTTAATAATTGAGATAATATTTTTACACAAATACGTTAATACTGTTAAAATGTTTATGTACTTATATAATTTATGCAAAACATTTCGTTACCAATAATGAAACGACATTAATTTCGATAGTCGTCTTTACTAATGTCCGTGTTGGGAGAGATTCCAATTACTTCCGGTGAAGTGTCTGTAAAAGGAAAGATCGCTTACGCTTCTCAAGAAGCTTGGGTGTTCAACGCAACTATCAGAGAAAATATATTGTTTGGAGAAGAATATCAAGAAGACAAATATAGAAAAATCTTGCATATAACGGCTCTAGAAAAGGTAAGATGATTTTTACTCTTGAAAATTATACTTTGGATTCCTTACTTCCTTTCTGGACGAAAAGTGATTTTATCAAGAGTACAAAAGCAATCTTTTTTTTATAAAAAAGTTAAATAAAAATGCCGATTTTTAGTGTTGGACTTTAATATAAAACGGTTATAGCAGGAATGATATAAAATTAAATATTATTAGCCGTAATAGTGATTTTGAATACAAAATAAACAAATTTAACTATCAAAACACCATCCATAAGTCAAATACGTTTAGAAATCAATAGTTATGTTTAATTTTAGTAAAGTTGTCAATGCACATTAAATTGAACATAATTATCTTCTATATTTATTTTTACTATTTTTAGGATATTAGCTTATTTCCTAAAGGAGATATGACAATCGTAGGAGAGAAAGGAGTGATAATGAGCGGTGGACAGAAGGCAAGAATTAATTTAGCAAGGTAAGACAGGTCTTTCCTAAAACTATATTTTTACGTGTGAATATATAAAAGTACAATTTTAATAAGAATAAGACAAATATACCGCAATAATAAATACAGATTAATGAAATTCAAATAGTGTTAATAAGTATAATAGTTTTGATTATACTCATTACATCCTGATAAAAATAATCACCCGAAACCTATAGGCTATAGTTTCACTTCTCACTGACATTTTCTAAATTCCCCGTGGTGTATTTGTTAAAAGTAAAACAAATAAAATATTTATCTGTTATCAAATAAACCACTTTAGACTGGTTATTTTTGACCTGGTAGAAGGGGCATCGTGTGCTGGTGTTCTATACTTTGTTTGACGCTTTCTGTTTTACTTCGTAATATAAAACACGAAAAATACTATTAAACGATAGAATAAGATCGATTGTATTTATTTTTTAATGATGATACATGTTTATATTTTCCAGAGCGCTATATGTGGATGCCGATATTTTCCTCCTGGATGATCCACTGAGTGCTGTTGATGTACCAGTGGCAAAACATATCTTCGAAAAGTAATTATTTAATATATACCATTTGAATGTTCCAATACATTTTATCTTTTAATCTGTTTCAGGTGTATAATGGAATATTTGAAGGACAAGATATGCATTTTAGTTACGCATCAAATACAATTTTTAAACTCTGCGTGTAAAATTTTAGCGTTAAAAAAGGTGAATACGTTAATTGTTTATTAGTTTTGTTTTATAAATTACTTTTTACGATAATAACGACATTCTTAATTTATTTTAACAACGAATGAATTTTAACACGAAAGTTCAAAATAATCAACACAAAATGTAACGACGTTCATTGAACTGATTAAATAACCAACCACAAAAATAATATATAATAATTGCACAATAGTATACTGCATACTATGAGGATAGTCCCAGAAGTACCCGACCTAACAAAATAGACACAAAAAATTTGGTAAAACATATCTTTATTTTTCGACATAGTCTCTTTGTAGCTCGATACACTTTTTCCAGCAATGTACAATAGCTTCGATCCCCTGTTTATAGTGAGAACTGTCGAGCTTCTCAAAATAGCCATCAACCGCAGACTCCACCTCTTCATTGTTGGCAAATCTTTTATCACCAAGCCATTATTTTAAGTTTGAAAAGAGAAAATAATCCGACGGGGCTAAATCTGGCCAATAGGGTGCATGAGGAAGCAATTTGATCCTTAACTCATTGATTTTGGCCATCGCAATAACGGATGTGTGAACTGGTGCGTTGTCTTGATAAAACAACACTTTCTTTTTCGCCAAATGTGGCCGTTTTTTCTTGATTTCATCACTCAAGCGCTGCAATAAGTTCGCATAATATTGCCGTTGATTGTTTTTCCTGGGTGAATCCCAAAAAACTGACGCTATGACCTTGCCAGCAAATGGAACTCTTTTCGCCTTCATTGGAGCTGATTCTCCCCTTTCAGTTCATTGTTTTGACTGTTCTTTCGATTCAGGTGTGAAGTGATGGACCCAGCTTTCATCCATGGTTATGAATCGACGCAAAAACTCGGCTTTGTTGCTGCGAAACATTGCCAAAGACTCGATTGAAACATCCTTATGACGCTGTTTTTGGCCCATTGTGAGGAAACGCGGGACCCATCTTGCGCACAGCTTTCTCATGTCTAAATTTTCAGTTAAAAGGCGATGTACAGCACTTTTTGAAATGCCTACCATTTCTGCTAGCCTTCGCACTTTGAGTCGACTGTCTTCCAATACAATTTTGTGGATTTTTTCAACATTTCTGGCATGGTCACCTCACTTGGTCGACCACTACGATGTTCGTCTTGGCAGCTCGTACGGCCTCGTTTAAACTCTGCCACCCAATATTTTATTGTCGTAAACGAGGGAGCAGACTCCCCCAGAGTAGAATCTAGTTCAGCTTTAATATTGGTTGAACTGAAACTTTTCAAATGAAAGTATTGTATTTGATTGTAAGATGACAAATTTTTTCCATGTTTACAAATTCACTGAGATTGTTCAATATTTATGGCTGCTAAAAAATACTATACAACGTAACGTCGTCAAACTTCAAACTTAAGCTTTATAAGGTTGATACTTTCGAACACAGTCGATTTTTTCAAACAAGTACCGCCATCTATGTCAGGTACTTCTGGGACGATCCTCGTATATGGACAATATATCAACTATGTACCATAAAAAATTTTTCAGTGGCTGTTTTCAGAAGAATGGCAGTTATTTCAGTGTAGATATGAGTTGAAAATTTGTGAAACTACATCAAACCAGTTGTGAATGAAGCAAAAATCGGTGACAAAAGACTGGTGTTTAGTGATTTATATCCAATGCACAGTGGTGGGTTTGAAAACAGTTACATTGTTTTTTTTCTGTTTACAGAAGTAAATACGGAATAGGGATTGCATTACCAATTCAAAAACCAGACCATACCAGTAATAAGATTATAGCGAGGATGTGGCCGATGTTTTCATTTCTAAAACGTGAACGGCGATCGTCGAGCGCTGCTTACAACATCGACGTTCGATGTTCACGTTTTAGAGATAATTGTTACTGATAAATTCAGTAAATATTAATATACAATAATAACATTTCAAAATTCAATTTGTGTACATTTTTAGATGTACAATATTTTTATTTATAACTTTAAAAACATAGAGACAATTGTATTTATATACCCGATATATTTTAGGGGAAATGTGAATTTATTGGAAATTTTAAACAATTGGAAAATTTAGAAATGCATACAGGAATATTACAAAAAGAAGAAGTCTCTGAAAACAGCATTGATTTAGAGAGTGCGGTTTTTAATGATAATGATGATGAAATTGAAAGTTTTCAATGTGATATGAATGATGACATTGACGACAGAAACAAGAGTAATGAGGTGAGAATTATTTATTAAGTAATTATTTGAGTGAAAATTTTCAGAATGGAATAACTGATGTTCAGCAGTTTTCATTTCTCGAATTTCATTTCTTCAAGTTTTGAACATGATAAATTTTTAAACATATCAAATAATAATGCGATTCTAGGAAAAAATTACTATTATCGATTTATTTCGAAAATTTTTCAATATCAACTTTTTGAATGAGTAATACTAACATTAATGGACGTATTTATATTAACACTAGCTGTTTCCCGCGACTTCGCCCGCGCAGGTTTTACAAGCAAACCCCATTTATATTCAGTATTTTAATGACCATAGTAATTGTTATATAACACCTACCGCCAAGAATCATGAGAATTTCTGAGAATCAAACTAACTGTTTTCAATTTGATCAATTTTTTGATGGGTCTAAAAATATGTTCGATTTCTTGCAAAAACGCTAAAAACTGCATTTGCGCTTATAAATCTATCACGTCGCTGTCTCTTAACACTTCAATTGTTACTTAACATCTTTCATTGTTAATAGTTTTATTGTTAACAACCTCTCCCCGTAAAGGGAATTTCGAAAAATCCCTTCTTTGTGTACGTTCTCATGACGTACCATAACTGTGTACCAAATTTCAACCTTCAACTTCTAACCGTTTGAGTTCTGCGCTTCTTATTATTATTCGGAGTGGCTATTTCAAAGGGCAATTATGGAAAATAAAAATAATATTGTCGACGATATGAACTTTAATATTCAAAAGGAAATTCAGAACTGGCAAGAGCTCCTCTTCGTTTAAGTTTGGCATTGTATAAAATAGAAATCAAATCAACTTTTTATTAACAGATACATTAATTACACTTTACATAGTTTTCACACTTTGTTTTCGGTTAATATTCAGTCACTGTATCACTTTGACTACTCACACTTCACTGTTTGTTTTTATTCACTCACTGCACTAATTTGGAATTTTCACTTCTTTTTCGGTTCTTTCCTTCGTCACTGACAGGAAACTGACGTTCGAACCCACGACGAATCTTGCGTTATATACCCCCACCAATGGGTTGTACCACCCATACAAAAAAGGCTTCCAATGTTCCACAATCAACAGAGATGATCCGGTATGTTCCCGACGTTCAAGAAAATCCGGAGCATTCTGGAACATTCTGGCATTTCTAGAGGGCGAAACTTCCAGTCTTTATATCTTCAACAGCGCACCCTTCAGGTAAAAACGGGAACCTTCTTCATGGATGGGAAATAGAGGGCTACCACACCATATAACTCCCTTTATCGTACCGGGACTCATTTTTGAGTTTTATCGGCACGCACATTGTACACTTACCTTTGTTATATATATATATATTGATTATACAGGAAGAATATTAAACACTTTTTGTGCGTTTAAAACGGTACGCAAACATACATACTTCGAGTCTTTAAAAGAATTTTTTATATTTTCTCTTACTTAATTAAAGATATTCTTACAGAATTTACACTTTAAAAGCTGTTTTATATCTAAGATCAAAATTAAAAACAAAATTTTCTTATGATGTTCCTTATAAAATATTATTCTAAAATATACTGTATTATTATAATTTTATTTAAAAAATTGGCTGACGAATTTACACATTAGAAACAATACATAGAAAGACATAAATATCTTCACTATTGGACATGGTGAGAGTGAAGGCATTTTAGTCTTTCTATGTATTTTTATTAATATTATTATTATTATAGTTTTATAATAATTAAGAATAATTCAAATTTTTATAATTAATTAAGAACAAGTAAATAATATTTTCGTTACAGAATGTGATTATAAAATATATCGTCGATTTCGAACCAAATACGCCATTTTATATGGAAAACGAACATTGGAAATATAAATATTTTAAATCGATATTCTGATCTTTTCCGCAAAAGAAAACATTATAGGAAACGAATATTTAAACGAAAGTAAATACAGAATAGGGATTGCGTTACTAGTCAAAAACCCATTTGTCAACATACCAGTAATAATATTATAGCGAGGTTTTGATCGAAGTTTACATCTCTAAAACGTGAACTCGTAAATTGTTAAGAACCACTTATTGTTTTTCCTAAATCTTTCTCAAAATTATTTAAAAACTTAAATATTTTCTGAAAAATTAAACTGAGCCTAGCCGGTGTAGATTTTGTTATTTCGACCCGACACGAATACAGTCGACCCCCCCCCCTATAACACGGGTTCCTATAATTCGGATTCCTGTAACATGGCGAAAAAATTGCGACAGTATTCGTACAAACACGATAAAAAAGCTCCTATAATTCGGTAAAACTTCATCGCCGATTCGTGTCACGACAGGATTGGTCCAGTCTAGACCAACAGTGGATATTGTACAAACCGTTGAGTTTAAACGAGCAGCGGATCTACAAAAACCATTTATTATTTAACGTCCATAAAAATTATATTAATATTAATGATGTCTCCAAAGTTCAGCGAATTTTTCGCAAAAAAAATAATTTATCAGGAAGCAGGCGATGACAAGCTCCACGACGAAAACAAGCTTAACTAATGGCATAGTCGAATGGTACACACTCAGTAAGTAATCCTACAATTTTTTGTTTATAGCATAGTTTATATGGATTATTCCCAAAAAACTATACGTATCTTGGAAATGTTGAGTCGAATTAGTCTAGAATCGGTTAATTTTATGGAAGAAACCTTTTAAACAGCCGTAGTCCGTAAACTGCACACGCACAGGGATGTGATTGGCAAGGTCTCCTAAAACATCAATTTCATAAAAGACGGAACGTATCTACCGTGTTATAGGGGGTCGACTGTACATAGATTTGGTGACATGTTTGTAACGTTCTGTAAAGCGGTTGAAATCCCGCAAGTTCGAGGGAAGACGTGAATGCCCAACGTCATATGAGAAAGAAAATTCAAGAAACTTTCAAAACACTGAATGTAACCAGAGACCTACGTGTAAATTCAGAAACTGGTTAAAACACACTCATGTGTGCGTGTTTGGAAAATTGAATTTACGCATATGTTAAACTCTCGTCGTAAAGTACAAAATGAAAATTAAAAATGAGATCGATGTAATTTGACAGCAATCGTAAACTCTATTGACGTGCAGCGCGGGACCAATTTGCACGCGAAGATTAGACCATTGTCTCTAATCTCATGTAACAAGCATGTTACAGGACAATACAAGGGAATTTCACTACTGGGTTATTATGAAATGATATAATAATAATTTTTATAAAAACAATAATAAAACAAAAACATATATGAATTTTAACAACGTTTAGTAAGTTATATATAATAATATAATTCTTCGACAATTCTACACGAATCAAAACGTAAACTTCTTTAAACACGAGCCTGTAATTTCAATCAGAACATCGCCTGTCTGCACTGTGCTAGGAAACCGAATCCAGGCTGCAGTCTTTGATCATATACGTACTCCCCTGACCAGAAATAACCTCGACAAGCCTTGGACAGAAAATTCGTGGAGATTATTTTTTACATATTTTTACAATGTGATTTTATTCAGTGATCACAATTTAAATTTGTTAAGATAAATACTGAAGTTATACATGCAAAATTTTATTTCTGTCCGTCTCGTGTATAACCTGGGCATATTGAAAAGACTTGTTAGCAGACCAAGCACCACTAGATTTCAAATTGTCCAACTCTATAAACATTTGATTACCAGGAAACGAGCTCTAAACGTTTCTGGAAGTACAAACGTTGGTTTGTACCTGCGAAATTCGATTACAAAAGCGTCAACCTTAGGATACAACAGATTTTATTCTTCAATTGTCAATGATAATGTTTTATTGAGATACTAAGTGCAATGACCAGCTTCGCTGGGTTTTTATTTGTATGTAATATAGTTTTTTTATATATAAAAGACTGTTTTTCTAAGTAATCTAGAATCTAGCTGCAAGGACCCACAAAAATTCAAAAACCTCCTGTAAATCTTGCATGACGCTTTATATTAACACTTCCTTTGTTATTCAACACTTCCATTGTTAACACTTCCACTATTGTTAACACTTCCATTGTTAACACTTCCACTATTGTTAACACTTCCATTGTTACACATCTTCCAAGTCAACCATAAATGGACATGTATGTCCCTATATTTTACTTTTTCGCCAAAACTACACATCGCACGTGAATGGTGTTTGTATATGGTAGTAGTCCCAAGTCTCCATTCGTGCATTGGGGTGGTTGCGTCTCGATAGCTATAAGGATGCGAGAGATATAGGCTTGAAAGTGGTTGACTTCGAAGATGTGTAACAATGGAAGTGTTAACAGTGAAAGTGTTAACAATGGAAGTGTTAAGAATGGAAATGTTAACAATGGAAGTGTTGAGTAACAAAGGAAGTGTTAATATAAAGCGGCTTGCAAAATTTACAGGCGGTTTTTTGCGCTTTTGCAGGAAATAGAACATATTTTTATGCTCATGTAAAAATTCTCTGGAAACGTCTGGAAACGGGGGACCTAATTCTTGCATTCTGTGAAAAAGGGTAAGATTGGCTATAATGTAATTATCTTAATCTTCACTATCGTTACTTTTTGCCCAGCGAAGCGGGTCTTTGCAACTCGTATATATATAGATATATAGATATAGATATAGATATTTCTTATTCCCCTATTTCTTAATTGTTAATTTTGGAGTAGAAAAAACACCTAATATTCAACACAGTGAATAGTTTGTTTCGTTACTCTATACAGGTATACCTCGACTTACGTCGTTTCGAGTTACGTCGTTCCCGATTATACGTCGTTTGTCAAAAAAGTATATGGAAAATAAAAATCGAGTTTAAGTCATTTTATTAGACTTTACGTCTGTCCGCCACAAATATTGTAGTCGTAATATCACTAGAAAAGCGTTTAAAGCACATAAAATCAAGTATGAACTGTATTTACAATACCTGCATTCGTAAATTTAGATTACTTTTTTTGTACTATATTAAAAACTAAACTTTAATACAATTGTTGGTAAGCTTAATAAATAAAATACAGAACCGGGAATGGTAATTTATGGTTTAGCCTAGTGACAAGTAGATTCGGAGACAAGTAAATTCGACTTACGTCGTTTTCCTGGAACCAATTACCGACGTAAGGCGAGGTATATCTGTATTAAACAAGGATAACACATTTAAGTTATATATATTCTGCTATTATAAGTTATATTTATTCTCCTATTAAGTTATATTTATGTCAAGAAATTACTTTTTAAGTTATTTTAGTTCGAAATAGCATATTAAAAATTTTATTCTAGTTTTAAGCAAAATTGAACGAATAATTTATAAATTTTTTAAAACATTATTCCTTTTAGGAAACGGAAAATAACCAAAGTACACGTGACAATGAAGGAGTCAAGAAACCAAGAATTTCAGTTTATAAATCATACGTCAATGCCGGAGCGGGACTTTTCTTCAAGATTGTTATTTTATCCATGTTAATTATATCGCAATCTTTTACAAGTACCAGCGACTATTGGCTAATCAAATGGTATGATATTATTATAATTAATGTATACTTTAACACGTCAACTGTATTTTCATATCAAATGTTTAATCAAAACATCATTACAATACATAACCCACATTCAATTCACTATTATCACAAGTTTCATGTATAATAAATGAAAAGTTTTGTGAGATGCAAGGAATATATTTCTTTACGAATGTTATAATTTGGCATTTAAAATAAATGTCAGCATAAAATTTTTTAAGTTATATATCTGAATTTGATATAAATATTTTTCAAAGAATTCATGAATATTTATTTCAAGTGTGTATCTTAAACAGGTAAAATTATTTTTGGATTATAAATTTAAAAGTTAAAGTGATAATTATTAAAAAGATTTAGTTAATCCTTTTGTGAAGAAGACATGTTTTTTTGTAATCTTGAAAAATGTTTGAAACTTTTTTTCACAAAACATCGATAACAATCTCATCTTGACAACACAGCTTCATTAATGGAGTGGCCTGTAAGAACTGGAACAAGATCTCACTTACACGATATTTTTTTCCAGTGCCAAGCTCTGTGATATACGTCTATTCCCTTAGCAAATTTTTATCAGACTGAAAAAAAATGTCAATGTGTGGAAAATATTCCCGGCAAAATTAATCTATAATACAATTGATCGCAAGGGTAAGAGATTGCAATGTCGTCCACAGTTATACATCTTATGGTAAATGATGGGAATCTGGCTTAAATTTTCACTAAAATTGCTTTATGTATTTATGTAGATATAATTACTTCGTCATCATTCGGTAGATATCAAAATCATTTATATGTATTTTCTTTCTATAATGCACTTAAGTAATTTAATTGTATTTTATTCTGTTAAATATAATAATTACAACGTGTAATTGTTATTTTATTTTTAATTTTCAGGTTGCAAGATATAAGAATTTATAGCCACAGCATTGAGAATGTCGAAAATATTACATCTAACACAAGTAATGTTCACAACATTGAATACAAAAATTTTTATCACAGTGAAGAATTCAACATGTATGTTTACGTTGGATTGATATGTGTCGTATTTCTAACGACGTTAACTTCTGGATTATTGGTATACACATTCTTTACAATTGCTTCTTTCAAGCTGCACAACAATATGTTTCGTTGTATCATTCGAACTCCGATATCATTTTTGGATAACAATCCCGTTGGTATGTGAAATCTATTTATTTATTTTATTATTAAATTAATGAAATTCGGAAACAAATTTTTCGATATGATATAACTTCCGTAACTACATGTGCTGCTTATACTTTCATTTTTCGTATCAGAAATATTTGTTACTGGTTAACATTATAGCATTTGATGTGAAACTATAGCCTAATACATGTTGTATTCCACAGAAAATGACTGGTAAAACTAGTTTAAAAAAGTAAAGCTCAGCAAAATCATCTGAACATATGAAATATTTTAAAGTAGTGACACAAGAATAGTGGAACTAGATTTGACAGTAACACTCAATATGTCAATAAAATGCACATTAGCCAGACTAGAACTACGGAAAGTTTTCGATGAATCATTGTCACCAATATTATAAATCGGAAAAATAAGCATTGCCACAGAAAAACGCTTTGAGCTTTTCTTTGTACCTCGAACGTTTTTTCAAGGTGTTCAATCAAATTATTGTAACTGCAACAACAACAAGGGAGAAAGTAATGCTGAAAAACCTTTTTTGTGACAATGCGTATTTTTTCAATTTATTATCCTGATGACATTGCTTCTTTAAAAAACTTTGTAACTGTAGTCTGTGTTATTTACACTTTGTTTACATGTTGACTTTTAGTGTCAAATCTGCTTTCAGTATTCTTATGACACAACTTACGAAAATACTTTATTTACACATTTTTGGCGAGTTTTTCAACTTGGTTTCAACAGTACTCTTAATGGATTTTAAGTACTTTTCTGTTATCGATATCTTCACGAGAAAATATATTTCATGATAATTTTAAATTTGTATGGCACTCACGAGATAGCCTGAAGATATCTACAGGATCTAATACACTTAGCACCAACTTCTACCTTTAGCTATTTGTGGCAGCACTCAATTGTTGGTGTTTTCTACACTCACGTTTTCTTTTAGACCCTTCGGGGCGATGCAGCCTTGCAGCCTAAAAACTGTATGCTAACATTAAACGTAGAAGGTACTATAGCAGGGGTCGGCAACCTGCGGCTCGCGAGCCACATGTGGCTCTTTGGATGTGAAGCTGCGGCTCTTTAGTTCCATACGCAAATATTATTTATTTTATAAAAAAACATTTAAAAATCGTTCTGAATCGATTAACGAGGATTAGGCACTGATTCTATCTCTCAGCCACTTGTACTCGCTTTTCACCGCACCCGTCCCCCGTGACACGCGTCGTCACTGTCGTCAGTCCGTCAGAAGCTCTCGAATGACGCTGTCGTCGGATGTTTCTATGAGGTTTAATTCACTTTCGACTCAAGACAATTTGGCGTCTTCACCAGTGCTTTGGCTGTGACGTATATAGTTTGTTGTTTCGAGTAAAAGAGTTAGAAGCGAATTATCTTCTCAAAGTTATGTATGTACAGTACATATATATAATAATAATAA